AAAATATTTTTAGATATATACAGGGTGCTACATTTTTGCTTGGCATATTTTTAAAATAAAACATGTATTTTATTTCAATTTTAGAATGGTTTGGTAATACTGTATTCAACCCTAGAATAATTTTAAAAAATATTACAGGTCTGCCAAGCAATTAAATTTTTATAAAATTAGAGAATGATGCAGACCCCAAATTAAATTATCATAATTTAGGTAGGATTACATTGATTTCAAAATTGTTTAATACACTGACTTATAGCACATTAAGATAACGAATAGTAGTGATAGTGCTGGATTCTTTTATAGCGAGTGTTTTGAAACATGTGTCTTAAATATGGTTACTTTTAAGTCAAATTACTCTATTTTTTCAAAGGCAGCATCCGATATAATATTTTAGCATACAATTCCTTATAAATTTGCATATCCAACGATACTAACATGTTAGAGAATAACATATATACAGAGTGTCCCATCAGTGCGTAATTGATCGATAGCTGTTTTATTATTGGAAATAAGAAAAAAATTAATATAAAAGTTGTATGACCATATTTTAAAATTATTCCTATATATACAGGGTGGTCCATAAACGAGATGTTGACCAAACCTATACATTTTTTAATCAAAACACCCTGCAGGTAGTTATAAATATTTGATTGTTTTCACGTCGTCAAATAATTTTAATTGACTTCATTTATTTGCTGTTATATATAGGGTGTGTCAACACGCGAGGTTACAAATGTTTAATTTTTTTTCAATGGAATATTATATTAATTGGTGGCATAACATACAGGGTGTTCCATTCTAAAATTGAGAAAATCGTGACCATTTTGACACACCCTATATACAACATAGCAAATGAATAAAATTGAAATTATTGTTCGACGATGTGAAAACAGTCAAATATGTATAACTACCTGGAGGGTGTTTTGCTTTAAAGATGTATAGGTTTGGTCAGACAATCGTTTATGGATTACCCTGTATATTTATAAATAATTGTTAAATATGGTCATACAACTTTTATATTAATTTTTTTCGTATTTTCTATTATAAAACTGCTATCGATCAATTACGCACTAATGGGACACCCTGTATATGTGTTATTGACTAACTTATTGGTATCATTGGATATGTTAATTTATAAATAAGTTTATGCTTAAATAATATACAGGGTGTGGCATTTGAAAAAAATTAAATAAATTTAACTTGGAATTAGCCATATTTAAAACTTGTTTTTTAAAACACACTGTATAAAATAATCCAGTTCTATTATCACTATTTGTTAGCTTATTATCTTATTACTATATTTTAAAAAAATTTGAAATTATTTTAAACCTACCTAAATAATGATAATTTAATTTGGGGTCTGAATCATTCTCTAATTTCATAAAAAATTAATTTATTGGCAACCCTGCAATATTTGTTAATAAAATTATAAGGTTAAATACAGTATTACTAAAGCATTCTAAAACTGAAGTAAAATACAGGGTTTCTCTACTTAAAAAATATACCGTTTTATTTGTCAGACAAACACGCAAAACCCTATATATCTAAAATTATCTTTAAAATACCTATTTTTGAAATTCATATAACTTTTATTTCGAAATTGTTTACGTGTCTACAACACAAATTAAAATATTGAACAATGTAATAATTTAATCCCGCGCCGCGTTTATATATTTTATTCACGCTTCTAATAGATATTGTAGGTTACTTGAGTATTTACTTAAACTACTTTGGTCTTAAAACGTAAAAACAGACTTAAAATTTTAGAAAAACTACTTCGGCTCAGCAGACCCGACCACAACATTTGCTTCGGCAGTCAACGTGTTTTAAATGCTTTTTTATTCATTTGTCTTTTAATTTGTATTTAGTTATTAATATTTCAAAAATGCCTATTTTCTTATTGATTAATCTAAAATAATAATTGAAAATAGTACTGTAATTCTAAATTGATAAAAAAAAGTACAAATATGAAAACATAAATTACGACTCTACAAATGAAGTAAAATTTTATGATTAATTTCTTTTTTCTTACAAAAACTTTAGCAATATGTCATAAGTTGCATACACACAGTATGTCTATGTAAGTTGATAGCAAATAGAAAACTTTTTTATTAGGTATTCATTTTACGAAAAAAAGTAATTCTTCATAAAAATGTATGCATGATCTAACAGAAAATGCAACCACCCGATATCAAATTTTATCAGTCGGTTTTACAAGGTTTGTCAAAAAATATCATTTTGCTCAATATAAAATACCTTTATTTTCGACAAACACTGTATACTACTGATAAAATTTGTTATCAGATGATTGAATTTTAGGTTTTATAGACCATGTATAACTTTTTATGTAAAGTAACTTTTTTTCTAAAATTAATAGACCATGCAATTGTTTATGAAAAATAAGTTTTTTCTTAAAATTCTTAAAAACGTTTTCCGTATGCCGATGCCGCCAACTTACATATAAATGAGATTAAATTAAATTAAAATGACATTGTTAATGTAAAAATATCATTTTAAACTCCGTTTAACACAACGGTGGAATCGGTCCTAAGTAAATATACCGATGTGTCGAATTTAATCCCAAATCCCAAACTTTTATTTTTATACCTGTTACATCGAAAATATTTGTCAAGGTCAAAAACTCGTTTACTTATTATCGCGTAGTAGCTAGGCGTGATGAATTTGTTATTTTATAACAGTTACCGTTTAAAATTAATATAATAATTATTACGCCATCTGTTGAACAAAAGAACTATTAAATATGGAATATTGCTCCATCTGCTGAACAAAAGGATTCTTAATTTATGACACATAAATGACATCTATCAAAACTAGTTCATGTTACGAATATTGGGGGTGGTACTGTGGTCTTAAGACAAAATAACTAATTTTAAAATAATTTATGATTTTTAATAATTTTTAGTAATTTTTAAAATAAAATAAACAAAAAAAAAGTTCATTTTATTTTCCCCTTCCGAGAATCGAACTCCAGTCCTCCGCGTGGAAGGCCAGAAAGATGTCCACCGGACTACCCATTCTATTATTTTTGTTGCTTTAATATTCGTAATTAAATTGACTTTATATAGTTTTATTATATTAACAAATTATTTATAATTATAGACGAAATAAAAACAGAAATGCTATTATTTATCGATTCTACACAAGAATAACCCATTTTAATGTATGTTTAATCTCAATAACTAAAAAATATACACAATTAGTTTGACAGAATTGTCACTTATTTAAAATTTTAAAAATAATAGCAGTCGGTTGATCAAAATATGAACGGTGATTGTCTTTTCGGGTGAGTGTCAAGAAAGCAGAACTTTTATCCTAGAAATTTAAAGATTTGGCCTAATAGAACTTTGTCAGTTTATGCACCGGTTCTTCATTTATTGTTTTTTTACTGTTTATGTTTGTACACAGTTTTTAGACAACTCCGCAAAAATATTCATTTCAATCATTTCCTTATTCATGCTTTATCCCTATAATTAAAATTTGTACATGTTTATTGGTCGGCTGGAAACCGGTTAATGTCAGTTTATGTCTACTAATATCTTAGCTCTATCAGGTGTAAAGTATTGTTTTTCTGAAGAACCCCTTTCTGTTACCATAGTCCATCTTCAGGACCCATATGACTCCCTGCTAAAATCAAGACAATAATCTTACTAAGCTAAGAAAATTATAAAGTCTGTAACAGTAAAAGAAATATTTAACTAACAGATTTACGGATAAATCATTACGTGCTCGTTTCTATAGGATAATGTTGAATACATTACCCTAACAAAATAGAATGTGAATTTTTATCTAGAAGTGATAGAAAAACTATATGTTAACAATGTAATAAACTTAAGATGGATTAAGCACTATTTCACATCTAAGTGTAATTGTCTTATCTATTCAGTAGCCTAAAAGGCAGCCAACCAAATACTTTTTAGACCTAGCCCTTCCATAGAAGTAACAATATCACTCGTGACAAACTTGTTTAAAGATTATTTTCTAAAAAATTCAAGAAAGGTTGGAACAAAACAAGAAGCTGCAGAATTTCTAGAGAACTCTTAAATTAACCTGACAATTTGTTTTTCATGTTCCACCTATGGACCTCCCAAACTGTCACTATAATCCGTTTGAAATAAACCGACATTGCAACATGAAGCTTATTTTGCTACAATTTGCATTTTCTCGTTCATTCACCGCAATTAGTTCCAAGTCTTAGATGGTTAAACTTCAATCAGCTAGTCTTCTTTTGACATGGCCCATGGTGGAATGTCTAAGCCGTCATCCACCAATAACGTGGCTGAAGGCCAACACCAAGCAAATACTTGACTAAGAATATATAAAATCTGGCTCTGATTACAAGCATTCTGAATTTAAGTACGGAAGCACCTCTACAACATGGGACTCTCAGACTGTTCGGAAGTAAGAACAAAAAGATGTGACTATAAAGCACATTCATTATGATTGCTTGACGCCCTAACCTACCTGTATTGGCAGAATTGTGTTCAGCTATATAATAAAGACGTTGTTAACTATATAAAATATATAGTTTGTCTGACTACCTAGGAAGAGAGCTCAACGATTTAGGACCATAAACAATGGACTTAGTGAGGATTGAGACCTTTAAGGCAACCGATCCTCTTAAGAACTGTGATTCTGTATAGAGTTATCAAGACTGATGTTTCTATAACCATTAGTTATCCAAGAATCAGGGGTACTAAAAACTTTAGTCTTAAAGTAAAGTTAATACACATTAATTATAGAATAAAGATAAGTAAATCTGTATCTCCAAAGTTCAAGATAGGACTTTCTTTAAGTCTATAATTTGCACTATAATAAATCTTATTTAAAGATGACACTGATTTGAAAGATTAGCATATATATTAGGATTAATATTTTGGAATTGCTTCATCTTTTTAATAAAAAAGAGTAAATTGAAAATGCTGATTCAACTAAAAATATGGTTTTTATTATAAAATACACTAAAATCCAAAAAAAAAACATTATTTAGAAATAATAATTGCAAATGCACATATAGATAAATTAATACCAATTTGTAGAGGATCAGGACCTTCTGGGGCACCACATTTTTCGACAATGTCTCCAAGTTTAAGAGGATAAAGCAATTTTACGTAATTAAAGAATATTTCCTTATTAAGATTTCCATTTTTGTCCATTATTTCAACTGTTTCGAGTAAACAAAGATTGTACTTCTTTGCGTTTTCGTCTATCTTATTTTCAAGAAGAACTTTTTTAAATGTATCTTCGTTTAGACCTGTATCTTTCTGGCAATCTTTAAATGCTCTAGCCAACTGGTCAGTTTTCGAAAGGGGCTGAAATCAAAATAATAATGCATTATCGGTAATTTTCTTAATGTATAGTAGAAATAGGTAGAGGAAGAAGAAGAAGAAGAAGACAAAGAAGCATTTGACACAGTGGAGAGAACATAAATATAGGTAAACCTGGACAAAATGGTAGTGCGCTACGAGTAAGAACAATAGTATAAATAGCAGGAAAAAGGTCGCAAAGTCCATTACTTTTTATCAATATTATGACGAATAATAAAGAAAGGTGCCAAATAAAATACAGTAATTGGATAAATAAGTCTATAACATTTAAGATTAAGTATTTTTTTGTACGCAGATGATGTGGTATTGATCGAAAATAAAACTGAACATAAAACAAAACTGATTACAGAAAATGAACGGTAAAAATATGACTAAAATAACATGGACTTGTAAGCTCTTTTCACCTTATAGTAAAACAGGTTATACATTTTAAATGAACGGAAATATTTCCAGAAGCAAGTTTAACGGAGTAGGTTCATATTTATAAACTTGGTTATTAGGGCTTGAACGAAAATCTAAATTATAATATATTACATTTTGCTACTTTAAATTTACATATTTGTTACTGCCCATCTCTAAATTCCGGTGGAACGCTGGAACCACCTGGAATTCTGGACCAGTAGTTTTAGAACATTGCTCTGAACCCAACGGGCTCAGCAAAGTATGGTTTAAAAATAGCTTTGTTTTGTTTCGTATTCGTAACCGTTTCAGAACGTTTGGAGCGTGCGCAGTAGATATTGACTGTTTTGGTTTTACCATTACTAGTTCTGAACCTGCATATTATGTTTTTCTTAGAAATGTTTCCATAATTATTCTCGAACAGTAACTTCGGCTCTGACTCAAAGCAAAAAATGTTTTAGAACTGATATGTTCACGCTTGCGGTTTTTTGCAATTATTTTTGTTGCTAGGATTCCTGATCATTTTATCTGTTAACAAGAAATTTTCGAATGACGAATGAGAATGCAGTTGATTAGTTGATGTGTTATGAGTTTATTTATGAATCATTTATTAAATTTATCAAAGTTACAATATTACATGGCCTCTTTCTTACTTAGACATTTTCCCTTTGTTATTTCTTCTTTTTTATTTATTTACTTCTTGACATTTAACTGTTCTGGCAATGTTTTGAGAGTTTGGTTTGGTTCAAACAGAACGGTCAATTCCAGATCCCAAATACAGTTGACAAATTATTTTTTTAAGAACACGTCGCGAGGTTATAATAACCTCTTAGCTGATCAAGTATAATTAAGTGATTCTGAACTAGTTTCTAAGAGAATAAAAACGAGTCTTTTTGAGTACATATTAAATTGTTACAATAATTTTTAAAAGGACTATTGCACCAGTGTTCTGCGCATGGTTCTGGAACAATTATTCTCGAATGAAAACCAAAAGAAACCTAATATAGAGTAGTGTAGCTAGAAAATATTATTTTTTTACACAATGGGGAAACAAAATTCTTACATCTACAAACACAAAATATAATACTTACTTGAGAACAAACTACACCTATAACAATTAAAACCACAATAATTCGAATCATTTTGAAGGTAAAAAGAATTCTAATACTAGTTAGTTCATCCTTCGTCTTTTTATAGTATACAATAACATAATTTGTAATTATAAAACCATATTTTTCCTTTATTAGGCAGTAAAATTTAGGCAAAAACAATCTTAATTAGTATTATTTCTTATTTTATGCCTTAAGATTTAGATTTAGATATTAGTTTAAGAATTTAACGAAGCATTTATATCATAATTAATTTTTTGTTTATTTTTATTATATACAGAGTGTCTAATGACCATTTTTTATTTGTTATATTATACTGTACCCTATATTTTCTGGAAGAAAAAATATAGTTCTCAGCTCCGGCTGCTGTTCGTCTGGTGACACTATGGGTGATATGGTTGATAGAAAAAACACAAAATATTTTTAAAATATTAAAGCTCAGTTCTAATACGAAAAAAAAAAAAATTTTGATTTTGGATCACCCTTGTTTTCAGGTTAATCCAGGGTTCGGAGGATATATATCAAGTGATATGATATTTTATTTCAAAATTAGAAGTTATATATATTTTGGGTTTTCACATTTATAAAAATTTTAATCAATGTTTCATGGGTAAGGTCGGTCCTGAAAATTGAAATGAAAAGAAAAATCAGGACATCGAATTGTCATGAGATTTTTGAGGGTGGTCAAAAAATTTTAAAAAGATTGTCAGATTAGAAATTTTGAAGAAAAAGGTAGATGGAATTTGTATGAAAAGAAAAGGAATATTGATGTGATTGAAATGATGGGAAAATACTAGAAGTTGAAATAAAAAGATTTAAAAGTAAAAGGTAAAGAAATTTTTATTAAAAAAAAAAAAAATCAACAAAGTGAAAGCAGATTTTGCAGGAGGGTATGTTATCGATGGATAATAATGCAAGCTTCTCTTTTATAACTTTTTTATTTTACAAAGTCAGAAGAATAATGACAATCAATAATTAATTTTTAAAAACATCCGTCGTCGTCTTGACTCCCACACGTAAGATGTAAGTAGCACCTAGGGTGGTGCACATAGGGTGGTGTATATCGGATGGTGTACAACCTTATTTTTACCATTCGACCATCCTGATGTTGTTTTGTCCTCAAAACGTGCTTATTCTACAAACAAACAGAAAAGGAAAAACATTAGTAACATTTTAACCACTAAAGTCAACAATGTAGTCTTTGAATCTTGCTGGAGGTCTTCTGTTTCTGCTTGGTCGTCTATCTTCATTTTGCAATCCTGTTTGAATTTCTTTTTCTGGTATGTAGTCTAAATCTGTTGTATAGTCGTCATCTGAATCGTATTCGTCAATTACTTTGTATTGTTTATCTTCTTCTATATCGCCTTTGTGCCTTTCTTCACCTTCACTGTCATCTTCACCACTATTGTCGTCTTCAATAGAGTTTTGATATCTTTTCAAGTGAGATACATGGGCATTCGTACAGAAAACTCTACTTCTATCCGCCTTATCTAAACTTTCTACTTTATAGATATCTTTTCCTATTTTTTTAATAATTACCAAGGGTCCTCTGTACTTAGGTTGAGTTTTTGTTGGCTCTCCCGTATTTTCTGTTACTCTTTTCATCACCACAATATCTCCAACCTCATAATTTTCGAAGTATTTCTTTTTGTCATAATGTTTTTTGTATTTACCTTGTATCGTTATCATTCTATTTCTCGCTTCTTCACGAATATCCTCTGGTTTTTGATAACTTTCTTTTGAAAGCGCGTACGCCAGCTTTGCATCTTCAAATTTAGGTGTATATCCAAAAAGGCATTTAAATGGAGTTTTTCCTGTAGTTCCATTAATTGTATTATTTAAATGTCTTTCAACGTCTTTCATATTCTTATCCCAGTTTTCTTCATTTTCCATGGAAGTCTTAATTACTGACAATAAAGACTTATTCACAACTTCTACTTGGCCATTGGCTTGTGCCCATCGACTAGCTATAAGATTGTGATGAATTCCCTTTTCTTTACAGTAATTTTCAAATTCATTCCCTGTAAAAGCTGTGCCTCTATCAGTAACTACTATTCTTGGTATACCAAATTTTTGTATAAAATGATTAAACATTATTACAGTTTCCTTGCTAGTAACTGTTTTAACAGCAAATAATTGCACAAATTTTGTTAAGGAGTCAATGATAACCAAAACATAAGAGTTACCTTTATCACTCCGAAGAAATGGACCTAAATGATCTACATGTACTCGTTCCATAGGTCTACTGGGTAGAGGAATTGGATGTAGTTCTCCAGGCTGCCTTCCACCGGGTGATTTCTGCATGAGACATTCAAAACAGCCATTGATATGTCTTCTAACATATCTTCTCATGCCCTTAAACCAGCAAGTTTCTAGTATTTTTGAAACTGTGCGGTCTACTGAGAAATGTCCAGCCAGATCATGATATTTTACCACAACTGACTTTCTCATTTTATCCGGTATTACATAAAGATGTCGCTCTTTCTTATCTATGGTTACCTTCTTAAGCAGTCTTCCTTTTTCTAAAATATAGTCTCTTGTTTTATTCTTCTCTTCTTTTGATAGATCATCAGAATTTTTGTTTAGTATTTCTATTATTTTTTTAAGATCTTCATCGTTTCTCTGAATCATTAGAATTTTATCCTCTTCATCTAATACTACAAAGACTCCAAATTTTCTTTCTACTAAGTCATCAAGGAATTCGCTATTTTCATCTTCTACAGGAGCTCTGCTAAGTGCGTCGATATGGTGCATCTCGCTTCCAGGTCTATGCTTTATACTAAAATTATAATCCATTAATGTAGCATACCATCTGGCTATCTGTGGATTTGCAGATCTTTTAGAATTCAAATATATTAATGCTTGGCAATCTGTAACAATTACAAAATGAATACCCATCAACATTAACTTTAGTCGTTCTACTGACCACACTATAGCCATCAATTCGATTTTGTATGAGTGATAGTGTTGTTCAGTTTGAGTATTTTTCTTAGATACACAGTATACTAGGTGTAATTTACCGTCTTTGTCCTCCTGAAGAAGCATACCACCAATACCAACAGCACTACCATCTGTGTGTAGCTCAGTCTTTGCGTTTCTATCAAAAAGTTTCAATACAGGTGCATCCGATAACTTACTTTTCAATAATGTGAAAGCTTCTTCTTCTCTGATACCCCAGCTAAAACTGAAATTCTTTTTAGTTAAATCAGTTATAGGTTTAGCTAACAAAGCATATTTTGGTATGAATCTTCTAAAGAAACCAGTCAGACCTAAAAATCTCCTAACATCATGAACGTTTGAAGGTCTAGGAAAATTATCTATGGCTCTCATTTTTTGTTCACCTGGTTTAATGCCATTTTCTGACAAAATGAAACCCAAATATGAGACTTGGTTACTGCTAAAAACACATTTCTTGATATTTAATGTCAAATTGGCCTTTCTTAAGGCTTCAAAAACTTGACGAAGTCTACTTATCATTTCAGTCCAATTTTTAGCAGGAACTAAGATATCATCTAAATAACACATACAAATTTTACCTCTCAACTCTCCTAAGACTAAATTCATCATTCTTACAAATTCATAGGGTGCGTTAGTCAGTCCAAATATCATCCTGGTAAATTGTCCCGTTTCGTCTGGAGTTATGAAAGCTGTTTTTTTCTTGAGCTTCTTCCGTGAGAGGAACTTGAAGATATCCACTGGCTAGATCTAAAGTAGTAAACAAGCAACAGCCAGCTAAACCATCAAACTGCTCATCTATCTGAGGAATAGGAAAATTCATTTTAATAGTTTGATCGTTAAGTTTTCTAAAATCTACAACCAGGCGTTTGTCACCATTCTTTTTGGCAATCAAAAATACCGGACTAGCATAACTGGAATTAGTTTCTTTAACAATGCCAGTTTCCTTCCATTTGCGTACTATTTTACCAATTTCTTCGCGATTTTGTGGGGTACACTTATAAGGTTTGGCCCTAACCGGAACATTATTATCAACAATGTTCATCTTGATAACGTCCGTACAACCAAGTTCACAAATGTCTATAGCAAAAATGTCTCTAAATTCATTTACTAAGTCTAGCAATATTTTCGCGTTTTTGTTGGAAGTTTCGGTACTCACATTCAACAAATCTCGTGTAATTATATTATTTTTTACTAGTTGATTAAAATTTACTTTTTCTTCGTTATCTATTTCCACTATTAATTGTCCTTGTTCGAATGAAACTGTTTTATCTGTAGCATTAACTAAACAAATGTGGTAATTATCACCTTTGAAGAAACTATTAATGAAACCGACATTGTCTTTTAAAATTAGAGTCTTTGAATCATTTCGAACAATATCTCGCATGGGTTTTTCAAAAATGTTCAAATTGCAAAACGGAATGTCACTCGCGTATCCGAAAATTAATTGATTTCCTAGTCTGTAATATGCGATATTATCCCGTTCAGTAAATGTTCGGCCTAAAAGAACATCGATGATTTGAGCGTCATCTGGTACCACAAATAACTCTACGTCATATACCGACAGTTCGTCAAGAGTAATTTTAAGCGTTACCTTATGTGTACAAGTAATTCCGGCATTCCCCTGTCCAAAACCAAACAAATTACATTTTGTGTCCAAACAAACTAAATTGAACTTATCAACAAATGATTTTTTAATGGTACATACAGCACTTCCGGTGTCTATCAAAGCTGAAAGTTCAAAGGAGTCATTAATTAAAATAAGTTTTAAAAACTTTTGAATGGCATCTGCTCTGCTATCTGGGTCAGTATCCACAACAGTCTGCACAACCGACGGAACTGCAATTCCTATAGTAGGATTCGAAGTTTCTGAAGAGTTTCGCATTCTTTTTGGACAATGTCTTCTTACATGCCCTGGCTCCTTGCAGAAGTAACAGTGAAATAACTTTCCGGATGTTGGCGCTTTGTTAATGGAAGACGTCGCTATAGAGACAGCATTCTCACTACCACGAACTTGTAAACAGGAATCTGTCGATATTGCACCTCTGCTATTATCTGTAGATCCGCTTCGAAAAGGT